GTTTTGCTCTGAACACCTCCTTGACTGTAATGGCTTCCACCATGTTATGACACAGCAGAAGGCCCTCATCAGATGCCAACCAGATGTGGCCACACAATCTTGAACTTCCTAACCTCCAGAACTATGAGCCAAAATAATCTCTTTTCTTTCTAAATTGCCCAGTCTCAGGTATTCTGTGATAGCAACAGAAAATGGACTAAGACACAAAGTAAAATAAGAATGAAATACAGCTAGGAGAATTGTAAGAGTTAGATTCCTTCTGGGGAGCAGTGCAAAGGGAAGACCCAAAACAAAGCAAGAAGGTACAAAGCCAAGTGGGGAGCAGACATTCAGAGAAACACTCTGGCAAATAGCCCATACCCTAACACAGGTATTATGTGAGAAATTTAAAGCCTGTGGTGTACTGAGCTTAACCATAGGAACAACAAACTACAAATTCAACTCCAGACTAAATTAATAGTAATCCCCACACCACGAGGGGCCCAGCAGAAGGAAAGGTATGCTTATTTCCAAGCATAAAATATATTTATCTCGGCATCTATTATCTTATACAACACATCTGATTTGCAGCAAAAGATTATAAGGCATACAAAATGGCAAGAAAGATCAAAATCTGAAGAGATAAAACAATCATCAAAACCAAACACAGATATGACAAAGATGTTGGGACTGTCAGACAGAGAATTTAAAATAATTGTAATCAGTACGATAAAGGATCTAATGAAAAAGATAGAAATCATGCAAGATCAGACAGTTAATTTTAGCAGAGAGATGTAAACTATAATTATGGTGAATTGACCATTTTATTATGTAATGTCTTCTTGTTACTTTTGGCAGTTTTGACTTAAAGTCTGTTATGGTCTGAATGTCCCCCAAAATTTGTGTGTTAAAACTTAATCCCCATTGTGGTGGAATTAAGAGGTGGGGCCTTTGGGGAAGTGATTAAGTCATGAGGGCTCTGCCCTTATGAATGAATTAGTGTCTCATAAAAGGGCTGGAGAGATCTAGCTTAGGCTCTTTTTGCTCTTCTGTTTTTTCACCAGGTGAGAACACAGCATTCCATCTCTTTTTGCCCTTTTTCTTCATTTCTCTATGTTAGGATGCTTCAAGTAGGCCCTCACCAGACACTGAATGCTGGCACCTTGATCTTGGACCTCCCAGCCTCCAGGGACTTGCTACTGCCATTTTGTTCATTGTTTTCTGTTTGTATTGTAGGTATTTTGTCCCTTTTTCTCTCTTTTCCTGTCTTTCTTTGTGTTTCATCGATCTTTATATAGTGACAAGATTTGATGCATTTCTTATTGTATCTTGTGTATCTTCTATAGTCATTTTCTTTGTCGTCATCATGGGGCTTACACAAAACATCATATAGATATAACAATCTATTAGAAACTGATAAAACTTAACTTCAGTTGCATATAAACCCTATTTTTACTTCAGCCTCCACACTTTGTTATTTATATCAAAAATACATCTTTTTATATTATGTGATCATAATTAATATATTTTTATAATTATAATTTTTTTTTTGTATTTTTGTTTTTTAACTTCTATACCAGAATTAAGTGATTTACATGATATTGTTACAGCATTACAATATTCTGTAATTGACTATATTTTTACTTTTACCAGTGGGCTTTATACTTTCATATGCTTTCATGTTGCTGTTTAGCATGTTTTCATTTCAACTTGAAGGATCCCCTTTAGCATTTCTTGTAAGGCAGGTCTAGTGGTGATGATTTCCCTCAGCTTTTGCTTATCTAGAAAAGTCTTTATCTCTCCTTCATTTTTGAAGGACGAATTTTGCCAGAGAGAATATTCTTGGTTGGAAGTCTTTTTCTTTCATCCCTTAGAATATATCATTACACTCTCTTCTGTCCTGCAAGGTTTCTGCTGAGAAATCCACTGCTAGTCTTATGGGAGTGCTCTTGTATGTGATGAGCTGTTTTTCTCTTGTTGCTTTGAAAAGTCTTTGACTTTTGACAATTTGATTATAATGTGTCTTGGTGTGGATTTCTTTGAGTTCATTTTATTAGGGTACATTGAGCTTCCTAAATCTGTGTGTCCATTTCCTTCTCTAGGTTTGTAAAGTCTTTAGCCATTATTTCCTTAAATAAGGTCCCCCTCCCCACTTGGACTGTCATAATATTTATATTTGTCTGTTTGGTGATGTCCCAAAAGTCCCTTAGGCTTTCCTTACTGTTTTTCCTCCTCTGACTGGGCAATTTCAAATGACCTGTTGTTTCAGTCCATTTTGTGTTGCTATAACAGAAATACATGGAACTGGGTAATTTATAAAGAACAGAGGCTTATGATTTATTGGCTATTGATTTATTTGGCTTATGATTCTGGGATGGTTGCATCTTGCATGGGCCTCAGCCTGCTTCTACTCATGGTGGAAAGTGGCAGAGGCTGCTGAGCTACACTGGCCTGTGACTGCTGTACCAAGGGCCCTATAGAGCAGCAGCACATCCCTCAGCTCTTTTTTTGTTCTCAGTATCTCCCAGGCATCTAGAGTATGCTGGGTCCCTCAGCTCTCTGGGACAGGTGAGATAGAATCCAGTCTCTCAGGCAGCCCCCCTCTTCCTTTCCTCAGGAGGAAGTCAGGAACTGGGAATTTCCTCCTGATCATGTGGCACTGTGCTGAGGAGAGGGACTATGGTGAGCGGGTGCCACAAATTTTCCTACTGGCTTTGTTACAGCTGGTTTTGTGCTCACCTAATGTGATGCAGACTCTTAACTGTCTTCTGGATTTCTCACAAAGGGAATTGCTCTGTGTATTGTTGTTGAAACAGTACCTCAACATGAGGAAAAAGAGTCTGAGGTTTTCTGTTCTGCCATCTTACTGATGTTCACTGTGGTTTTGATTTGCATTTCCCTAATGACTAGTGGTTTTGAGCATCTTTTCATGTGCCATTCGTATATTTTCTTTGGAGAAATATCTATACAAATCCTTAGCCCATTTTTAAATAGGTTTTGTTGTTGTCATTGTTGCATTGTAGGAGTTCTTTATATATTTTGGATATCAATCCCTAAACATTTGTTGTTTTGAGCAATTAAGTTTTGGGATAACTTGTTATGCAACAATGGATAACTAATGAATACTAAAAACTCATGTTACAAATATATTAATTACAAGATTGTAATATAAAAATAATAAAAACGATATAGTGTCTGACATTATGAAGATACTTTTATTATTATATATTTACTTGAGGTACTATGAATGCACAATTTAATGTTTAATAAAAAGTTTGTAATAACATGAAGAAATGCTTATGCTTTCTTAAGTAAAAAGTAGAGTATACATTGATTCCAAGAAACTGAAAAATGACATTCCATACCTTCAATATTTATAACAAATGGGGTTTACATAAATTTATTCTTGTTTTTTTATCTCATTTAATGTCTAATGTGTCATTTAGTCATAAATACTATTTTATTTACACTCCTGCTCTGCAGTAATTTGAAAGTAGATAATGTTTTTAATTATATTATTGCTGTCTTTATTTTTTTTAATTCTCAAATCTAGATGAAATTATCAAAGTTCACAAAAAAAATTGCTCCATATTTTTATTTGAAGATTAACAATTTGTTGATTTTGCTTCCTTTTTCAGATAGCAGTGACATCATGTTATTTTTAAACTTCCTTAAAAATAATATACGTAATCTACTTCTAATAACTTTTTCTTACTTAGCATTCTGGTCAAAACTAGTTCACAATAATTATTTAGTCTTACCTCTATGTATTTAACTTGTTTTAAAACTCAGCAGAGGTGTTTGTCAGCCACAGCTTCTCCACTCTTAAACTTTGAATTTTAATTCATTTCTTATTATTCTGGATCACATCTGTAAGCAATTTACTTAGGAAGGATATCTATCTTGGTGGTGGTAATTTTGTTGTTGTTTTCTTGTCTGCTTGATGATATATTTCTATTGACTTCACAGTTAACTGGCATCTTATCTAGGTAGAGAATGCTAACTCAAACCTCTGCAGATTTTGTTCTGCTATTTTCTGCCATTTAGACTTGAGTAAGAGGCCACACTGGTTTTTGTCTCTCTGCAGTCATCCTACTTTTTTGTTTTCTCTTTAGCTTTATTTGTCTTTGGAATTTTCTTGATGATTTGTTTGGATGAAAATCCATCTTCATAAATGTTGCTTTGATATATGGAAACTTTTGGGTTTCTAAATGATGCCCTTTTTAGTTCATATGAGGAATTTCTTCAACTATAATTTCTCCTTGATGAATTTTATGTTTCTCTCAGGTACATCTATTGATTTTGTAATGCTGCTTCTATTTTTAGACTTCTATTTCAGAATATTCTCTCTCACCAATTTAATCTTAGGCCATAGTAGGAATGAAATAATAAGAGCAATAGTTTGTGTTTGCCTCCTCAGCTCTGCAGCCCTCATAGGAGAACACCTCTCCCCTACCCACAAGCTCAGCAAAATTTTCCATTATCTTGGTGGTGGAAATTGGCAGGGAGAGGCTATTCACTCCCAATCCACATCCATAATAAATCTCACTCGAACACCTCTCCCCTACCCACAAGCTCAGCAAAATTTTCCATTATCTTAGTGGTGGAAATTGGCAGGGAGAGGCTATTCACTCCCAATCCACATCCATAATAAATCTCACTTTTTATTGTCTTACCAAAATCTGTAGAATGTCTTTTTAGTCTATTTTGTAGCTGCAGAGATTTTTTTCTTTTCACTTATTTTATTTTCTAAGTTTCATGAGGGAATTTCAAGAGGGGGGGATTTTTAATCAGCCTCACCTTAACATCATGTCTGGAGCTCAAACCACTGAATTATTTTTGAAAAATATATTTAGACCTGGGTCAAATGAGTTGAAAATGCAAGGAAAGGGTTAAGTTTTCTCCTCAAGTGTGGGCAAAATCTGTAGAGAAAAGAGGAACAACTTTAACAATACTATTTAAGTTTACTGGGCATAAAGTCAGTGTCGAGGAAGGCTTGCCTGGGAGTGGAAGGGCTGCTCTTCTCCTGTAACGCAGACTAATAGACCGACAACTGGGCTCATTTCCAACCATCAGGCCATGGCGGGAGCTGCCAAGATGGGTCCCAGATGGTGAGTGATCGTTCTTATTCTTACTCTTTGAAAGGCTGTTATGAGTTGTGATCTCAGCGGGAGGCTGTAGTTGAGGATGGTGCTCTGACATCTGTCCTTCCTGCCTGAGAATGCTCATGTGTTCAGAGCATGTCTGCTCATGTCTACTCTGCACTTGGGAGAGAAAGGGATCTGTGCTGTCAAAGGTTAGCTAAAGCCCGAAGCCATTCTCCCCTTCTCGGAGCATCCACCCTAGCTAGGTTCATGGCTCCTAGGTGCGGAAGCCTCTTTTTTCCTCAAAAGATCTTTCCCACGTGAAGGTGAGACTTATTTGAGGAGCCAAGTGCAGTGTTTCGGTGATGGTTTCTTCTTTCTTTCTTTCTTTCTTTTTTTTTAGGTGATTCATTTTGGTTTTGCCAATTTGTTTTTCAAACTGTGAATGTTAGTCATTGGTTTTAAGTTAAGAATCAGGAAATTTTCGAATGTCTGCATAAGGATGACAAATGATAGGGAGTAAGATTTTTGTATATCAGGGTCAGTTTGTCCTAAGCGTGGGGAACAAGGTAGAGAAGGGAGAGCAGAGAGGCCAAGGAAAAGAAAGAGGAAGGAGAGGTACAAGGAGAGAATGCAACACGCAGATAATAAGTCACGAATAGGCCGTGGGAGATTCTGAGAAGGGTGTGGTAGTGGAAAGAGGCGATGCAATGAGCTATTTTGTATTGAACACACATGATGTGCTGTGTACATTGCTAGTGTTATTTCACTGAACTTTAATCTTTGCAGTGAATTACGGACAGATATTATCATCTTTCTGTTTTACACATGAGGTAGCTGTGGTTTAAGGGGGATAAGTAACTTGCCCAAGGTCACACTGCTCATAAGTGGTAGAGCGAAAATCTTGCCTGCTTTGCTGTATACCACAAAGTTTCTCCGTGCCAGGTCAGGCCCCCATGGCAGGGACTTCCTGGAAGGAATCACACCCGCCCTTCTCTTGGATGGTGGCAGCTGGGGTCAGTCATTACTGGTTATTATTGTTCTTTGAAAATGTGAGTAACTTTTATCTACTCTGGGCCTACTAGTTTGGGAAATAGCTTTGCTGCTTTTATTTTAGAAGATTTGAATTTAATTTCCAAATAAAGATTCCTTTGTTCTGAAATAAGAATTTATAATTTTTGTGGAACTGTAGGGGTGATACTACTTAATGATGCTAGCACGGCCTGCAGTGGTCTATGGAACCACAGGCCACTGTCTGTATTGTTCTTGTTAAGATTCTCTTTGTCACTACTCCCCTCCCCCCACCTCTGGTGGCCTCAGTTCTGTTCTCTCCTTTTGAAAGTTCAGTGAATTATTGTGATTGTTGTATCTTTCTTTCTTTCTTGTTTTACTTATTTGTTTCTTTTTTTAGCTCTCACTTATGAGTGAGGACATATGGTATTTCTCTTTCCGTGCTGTTTTATTTCAATTAACATAATTTTCTCTAAGTTCATCCATGTTGCTGTGAATGGCAGAATTTGTAAAGGGTCACAAAAAAATGATTACATTGTGTAATGTCAAATATACTAATTATCCTGTTTTGAGCATCATGTATTGCACACGGGTATTGATATTCAATGCGGTGCCTCACAGATATGTACAATTAATTATGTTTCAATAACTAAATTTTTAAAAATTTTAAAAAAGATTCTTTTTGTTTCACAGTGCATGAAAGTTGGTCTTGAGCCAATGAATAGCCAATATGCAATGTTTAGTTTCATCAGAAGCAAAATAAATGCAAATTAAAACAGTGAAGTATCATTTTTCCTCTATCAAAGTGGCAAATATTAAGTTTTTAAAAAAGCAAGCGAGCAAAAATCCTCTATATTGCTCAGGAGGGAAGAATATACCCTTATCATTTGCTGATGGTAATATAATATTTCTAGACAATAATTTGGTGGTATATGTCAAAAGCCCTTAAAATACATATACCCTTTAACCAGGTAGCTCACCTTTTAGGTATTTATTCTAAGGATATAATCATATATGTTTGTAAAATTTTAGTGACGTGGATTTTTTTTTTGTCATTGTTTCTAACAGGAAAAATCTTAGAAACAACTTAATGTGTAAAAATAAGTAATTGGTTAATTATGAAACATCCGTAATGGGATACCATAAAGTCATTAAAAATTGTATTATAGAACAATTCATAATGCGTTTAGCTTAAAGGTAAAAAAGCAGAATGTACAGTGCTACCACTTTTATACATGGCACATGTATATACACAATGTTAATCAGAAGTATAGGTGATTTTTATTTTCTACTGTGTGCTTTTAAACTTGAATCATAGCTACAGTTCAGAAAATAAAACTAGATATTTAGGAAAAAGAAAACAATGGCTGGCTTTTCTCAGAAAAGCAAACAACTATCTAGTAGTATGTGATCAATCATAATTTATGGTATTCCACTCTTAGGGGTTCCACTATCAGCACCTAGTATTTAACTTTTTTCATCTCTTGACTCCTCTTCAAAATACACTCACTTTACCCATAACTCATTAGATCCTAATAAGTCTGTTTTGATAGAATATTACATTTGGAAGAGGCAAGGGCACTCATTTTCTTATTTTACACCTGGGATTGCACGGCTCTAGAGTGAGCTGCAGATTGAGAGGGAAGACAGTGCAGTGGGTAGGTGGCCATGCTTTAGAACCAGACTGCTGGGGTTTGAACACCAGCTCCCCCACTTTTTAGCTGTGTGACCTTGGACAAACTGCTTAATCATTGTAATTCTTAGTTTCTTATCTGTAAAATGGGGATTATATAATCATCATAATACTTAGTTTCTTGTCTGTAAAATGGGGATTATAGTGATATGCCATAAGGTCAGTGTGAGATTTTAATGAAATAATACATATAAAGTTCTTAGAACTTTGTTCTCATAAGTACTCAGTAATTAGTAGTAGTAGTTGTTTTTATTACTATTACTGTTAGGATTCAGAAATGAAGGGCAAGTGATTTGTTCAAGATTATACGACTACTTATTGGCATTGCTAGGACTCGAATCCGGGAAGGTTTTTTTTTTTTCCCTCTAGTGTTCAGTACCCTCTGAGTCTGCCAGGACAACCCAGGCTAGGCTCCTAGGGGGACTGACCTGAAACAGAAAGTGCCCCAGGACAAGGGCAGCTCCAGGGAGTGACTCTAATCACAATGGGAAGTCAAATGCTGGAAAGGGTGAAGCTAGGGAAGCTGAGAGCCAAGTTAGGTACAGAGATGACGCCTGGATCAAAGAGCTAGTGCCAGAGAGAAGAGACAACTCAGAGACGCTGCAGCAGTGGGGTGGGGTGGGGCGGGGCAGATGTTCTATACACTACCAGCTGTGGGCTTCCTGGGAGGTCAGTGTGGTTTAAAGACCCAAGTTCTGGGTGATTAAATAGACAAATGGGGAGATTTCAGGTATAGCTTTGAGAAGATGCCCAAAAGGTAGTAATAACAAAAGATGAAGTAGAATAGTATTATTACAGGTAATAATAATAGAGGATAAAGCTGGGCAGGGCCAGAACAAGGAGCCCAGAAGCCAGGCAGCCAGTCATGATTATCCCAAAGGCACAGCCTAAGTTTGAAGGATCATAAACAAGCAGAGACAGGATAAAATTTCCTTTAAAGAATTCCCCTGACAGCAGAGTGCAGAACGGATTTAGGGTAACAAGGAGATCCTTTAGGAAACTATTGAAATAATCCAAGAAGTGATGAGGACATGAAGCCAGGGTAGTTATGGTGGATCGGAGAGGAGAGGATGCATTCAAGAGATGTTTACGCAATAGACCTGACAGGACTCAGTTTTTGACAGATGTGGAGGCTGGGGGAGAAGGAGAGATCTAAGTGCACGTAGCGTCCTTCACAAAATGGGGCATATAAGAAGTGGAGTGGGTTGGGGCCAGGGAGAGAGAGAGGATAGATGGTGAGTTTATTTTCTAACATGTTGAATTGGAGATGCCTGTGGAGCAGCTGGATGGGATGTACAAGTAGGCAAGTAGATATTGAGGTGCAAAGCTCAAGAGAGAGATCAGGGCTGGAGTGGACACAGAGTCTTCAGCACAACTACAGTAGATGGTGAAATTCTCATTGTGGGCGAGTTCTCTAGAGACAGGAAACGGTGGGTTGAGAGGAAGCCGAGGATGGAATCTGGAAAGCCTTGACATTTAATGAGTGAGAAGAGGAAGAAGAGTCTACAATAGACACCAAGGAGGGGCTAGAGAGATTGGAGCAAACCAGGAGAAAAGTGGAGTCATAGAAACTAAGGGAGAAGAAAAATTCCAGAAATGGGAAGACGTGTCCATGAAAAGACAAGGCATAGTTACCAAACATATTTTTCTTTATTTTTATAGCAGTTTTAGTTTTGCACAGAAATTGAGTGGAAAGTACAGACAGTTCCCATACCCTTCCCCACTCACATACACAGTTTCTCCTATTATTGACATGTCACATTAGAGTGCATATTTACCATACTTCTACAGTGAGCATGATATGTGACTCTAGTGACTGAGCGTCAAGGGTTGAATTGTGCCCCCCCCCCAAATTCACGTGTCATAGTACTTCTGGATGTGACCATATTTGGAGGTAAGATCTTTACAGAAATAATCAAGTTAAAATGAGGTTGTTGGGGTGGGCCCTCATCCAACATGACTGGTGTGCTTATAGAAGAGGAAGTTTGGACAAAGAAACACGCACGGAGGGAGACAATGAGAAGAGACAGGGGGAGACAGCCATCTAGAAGCCGAGGAGAGAGGCCTGGGCCACATTCTTCCCTCACAGTCCTCAAAGAAACCAACCCTGCCAAAACCTTCATTGTGGACTTCTGACCTCCAGGAAAAAAAAAAAAAACGTCTGTTGTATAAGCCACTGTAGTTATGGTACTTTGTTACCACAGCCCTAGCAAATGAACACACTTGGTGAGAGTGCATACAGCCAGAGAAAGAAACTGTGAATAAGCATATCAGAGGGGTGGGAGGGAAACCGGAAAAGAATTAGGTCACCTATGATAAGAGG